CAAGAAGACGCGTGACAGTGTGCCTATGAGACGTTTACATTCCTGTCCATTTGCCTGTAACTCCTTAGTTCGTATCATTTAACAAATGACTTCGCAGTGAAAAGTTTCTCGTCCTTTCACTAGCAGTATGGTTTTCCTGGGTTTTATTAGTTTCACGCAACCCGCGAGAAACACTGCGGAGCTAACTTGACCTTCCCAAGATCCGAATAGTAGTACACTCCTGGATGCTAGGAGCAATTTCATTTCACGAGCGGCTTCTTTCAAACTCAAGTTGCTTATCCTTACGGGCTTTTATCTTCCGTTCATTCACACGAATTGTCCCCCTCGCGAATCAATGGAGGCAAAGGTTTAGCATGCTCCAAAGCCTGGGGGAATAGAGTTACTCAAGTTACGAGTCGTAACAGGATGGTTGTTTGATTGAGTTCCTAGACCTAGTGCCTGATGAAACATTTGTAGTTGAGGGTCAACGGCAGACATACTAATCCTTTACTCAGTATAGAGCAAGCGCATGACTAGCATACCTGCTAATTTCCCGCGACCAACAGCGTCCTATGAGCTTACCTCCCATAAGCTGAGAAAAGGATGTTGAACATGTATCCTGCAGAGCTAAGTTGAAACCTAAATGCCAACTGACCGATTACAGACCATTGGACAGGGAAGCAAAACTCTCATTTGCATCCTATTTGCAAAAACTGGATATCCACCTTCTCCTGAACGCGGCTTCTTGAACTTTCCCGAGTATATATTGACTCCAATCATTCATCGCTCAAATCCAAGCAAATGTTACAAAGTGACTCCACGAATTCCGCCACTGATCTCCCCTCTTCCAATGACGCAAAGCGAAATTCCACGAACAACACATACTACTCGCGTGCCACCCATCAGCAGTATCACCGTCACACTGGTATTCGTGCGTGTCAGTGACCGACATATAGGTGTGCATCCGTACCCGGCCTGTTGGGGCCTGGTCGGACTTGTGTCGTCTTGATTTTCGTGTGGTAGCACCGCCAATAAGAATCACGTGACTGGACCAGGACGGGACCATCAAGCCAATGTTCCGCTGGCCGTTGTCTGGAATTTCAAACCGTGCTACACTTTTGCTGATGCAAAGTACGCGAACGATTGAAGTTTGTTGTATGCATTTGCTTGACTTTGTGTAAATAGTACCGTAGAATTTCGTATCCAATTTTTCCTTTTGATATTCCGGATCATCAAACTCCCGCGTGACAAAATGTTCCGTATCGGGGACTTCAACAACAGTGTCGAGGTTGTTTCTGAAAAGTGGAATGAAATTCGCGATATACTAATATTAGGCATGCATATAAATCACATGTACAGTAGGTGCAATTTAATAGACTAAACTATTGTTTGTGAAGTTGTAACTGCATTTATCCAGCCGACCATTTCTCTGTGTCGCTCTTTCATCCCCATTCCCCAAAGTGGGATGCATGAACGCGTGTCAAAGTTTATAGACATCACCATCGCGACCACGACACAATAAGATAGATAACACAAATGCTAGGCCAGCAGCAAATACCAGAGATAGACGAGTACTTATCGTCCGAAGGAGATGAAACTGAATGACTGTCAATTCTAATTAACGAGGCGCACCTCAAATCAGATGTTTCACGCGAAACGCGCCCAATCCTTATTTCTCGACGAAGCGCGTTGTTGAATAGGATGAATAAATTCACGTCGCCGACAGCTCGCACTTGTGTTCTTATCTACCGTGGCTGAATCCGATAAACGTATAGAAGGGGAAGCAAATCATCTCCACCTTCGCACAAACTTCGTTTTCGCCTTGAACGTGCATGCAACGTGAAAAGTAGGGTTAGTGGAAAATAATGGAGACCAGTGGAGGATGCGAAGGGGTTGGGACAAGCAGGGATAATTAGGTCCGTATGCCAAACAATTCTATCGGTTTGGACATCAAGACGTTGCGTTTAAATCCTGGGGAGTTTCAACCACTCGAGTTGCGCACGAATTTCTCACCACAAATTGTGGTGCGGGGATCAGATAAGAATGATGACGTTTGACAGTTCCCGAAACTACTGGTTGTGCCAGAAATATATGCCGGAATTGATGCACGAGACTAGGGGGTGGGAATAATCACCAGTTTTAGGACTGTTTATTGTTTGGATGCTAGTGACTTGTGGTCAGCCTCTGTGACTCCGCCCGAAAGATTGCAATACACACACTACTGGTCATTCTTGTTGAGCAGGGAAGGAACTTCCTTCCTTATCCTTCCAATGATACACACTGAGAGTAACCAGTGAAACATAAATACAATACATTTACGCAATGGATAACCTGAAAATTAGGTTTTGGGAACTCACATCTCGTTTGAAAATGTTCTGCTTATGGATGAGCGACATTGAGAAGAAAGTGCCTGTTTATGAAGCAAACAGGCTAGGGTGGGCAGGTAGGCAGTTAAAAAAAGACCGGACTTAGTGATAAGCTGTTGTCCAGCAAATAATGACTAGATCTGGGCCTGGTATAAAGTTAGAAGTTCAGGATTATTGCGACCAATTCATGCTACAGATGGGTGCACCGGACGCAGGTTCGTCGTTGTTAAACCCCGTCTTTAGTGCATATTCTCGTACTGGAACGAGTTGCGTGCCCCTTAACGCTATTCCATATGCTACAGATAGGCGCACCGGACGCAGGTTTCGTCATTGTTAAACCCCATCTTTAGTGCATATTCTCGTACTGGGACGAGTTGCGTGCCCCTTAACGCTATTCCAGTATTGCATTCAAGTCATTATTTTCAGCATCTTCATCGTGTATCAGTCAGTGTGTGGTGTGTCCAAAGTTCTAAAAGTTGGTTTGGTAAATGTCTTGTTTGTGCCCGCTGATGATCGGATGGCATTAGTGATCCCTAGCACTAAACGGAGAATTTCCGGCTACCCAAGAGCAGTCACAGGGTTTGATGAATTTGTGCCAAGAGTAGCGGGGAATCACCGTCCGCAGCTTCATTTCCAAATGTGCAGACCAACCACCAACTAGTTTACCGTATTTCACCGTCCTGATGCAGTCTAGTACTTCAAACCCGTGAACACCGGATTTCACGCTGTCCGTAAATCGGATGCTTTGCAACCAACTGTGTGACTTGACTACTGCATAAATGTCAGTAGCACGTTTTTACGTGCAGTCTGGAACAAGTTCGGTTGATGGTTGCAATCATAGGGCGAAGTTACAAAAAAAACATAATTCGACATTTGCATACTAATTTGGCCTCCACGGGAAATTCACTTGAATCTCTGATGGTTTCCTCTTTATTGGTATTCCTCGTCAACTGCACCAAGTCACCTCGTGTTTCGGCTGATACGCCATTGTATATACGTGGCACAATATTCATAGGATTGCTGGAAACTAATCGAAAGTTCACGGCCGGTTTCGCCATTCTTGGCGCAGTCCTCGAGTATTCAGCAACCGTAAGAGTACTGTGTTAACAAACTTAATGCTACCAGTTCATCCCTCCCTTATGTACTTTCACCTGCTCAGTCATGAAAAGTATACTTGAGGAGCGACTTCTATGAGAGTATATGTTCCCTTGGACCAACTTTCATTCATTATGGACAGCCAATTTTACACTAAGTCAGTAAAAGTACCAACTACAAGCTTTTCTTTCTCACCGATGTGGTTTACTGCAACCTTTTTGCGCCATTTTAACGCACTGAGATTTGCGGAAAGTAAAAATTTCTTACAAGTGGTTCGCAGCTTACGATTCATATGCTGCGATTGGCAGCTTCAATCGTTAGCCTAGTCCAAAACCTTGAAAGTGAGCTTAATTCACTTGCGTCATTTGCGTGATGGGGTCTTCAATATCTAACATTCTTTTCTTGCAATTTCGAGGAGTGCACCTTCCTAGGTATAGAGTAACCAAAGCGTCCACTTTAAGTTCATATTGACCCTATTCCTTTGGAAAAATATTACAAATTATAATTCGTGGGCTTTTTTGTCCCCGTTTAGACGTACAGGGACGTTATGCTCGATCTCTCGATCATCACTTTAAGGCCACATCCATGGATGCATACTTCCACCGACGGGCTTACATAAAAGCTGAGAAATTTCGGCAACCAAATAGTTAGAGAAACAAGCGAATAGCCCATCAGAACAAGAGGTAAATTAAGCTGAACACCAAAGTTGTTGACAATGGTTCCCCGGTGCATGATTTTGCCACTTACAAAGTGAATAGCTGAGCCTGGCACAATCGATTTAACACGTGTCTGGATTCCTTGTGTATATGAAACTCAGAGCGCAGTTCCGTAAATTGCCATTTCCGTGCCCAAACCTCCCCATGTGCAGATGATCATGAAATTCGCTTGCCTATGCTTTTAGGTCATATGCACGTTGAGATTAGTGAAATTGGATACTAGTTGGTGTTTATCAGGAAGGCCAGATTCCTGAGAGCAATCATTGAATGTCCGGAATCTATCGAGACTCTCAACTCGGCTAGATGTTGACCAGACAGACAGCGCCTCCGCAATATGCAGCACGTCAAAGCCTCTGACCAAAGCCGGACGCGTGCGTCAGCACTGGATCAAGCTCAGACAGTGTCCCTCCAATGATCAAGGCCAGACGCATGCGTCAGCACTGGATCAAGCTTAGACAGTGTCCCTCCAATAAATAGCTTGAGACTTTTATACTTTCGCACTCCCACGCACTCACGCTCTCGCACTCGCTCTTTCGGAATTTAGATGTTGCGTTCCCTTCCTTGAGTCTTTTTTCGGGCACTAAGCACTGAAGCGGGTCAGCTACAGCAGACATAACAGGTTTCTATATGGTTATTGGTATAAAACTGTCCTTTCGCATTGTGTCCAACACACCAGCTGTCTGTTGTGAACTCCATCATGTGCAGGAGGATTTATTGATGGGTGTTCAGTCACAATGATTCGTTAACGTTATGGGAGGAATGAAGGACATTTGTATTTCTCACGAGTGTCTGTGTTTTTAGGGTTTGTTTAGTTGGGGTCTGCAGGTGTTTAGGCAAGGTCCTCAGAACAAATTTCGAATCAGAAGCCCACAAGGCAAAGTACGAGCTGAAATGCAGCAGAGTCCAACGGGAGGTGACTATGGGCCACCCTGAATATTTCAATGATAAACAATCACTGCAGGACCTCGAACAAACTGAGGTCACTGGACTTGAACAGATCTGAATTTTCAGGTTATCACTTTCACTGATTCGCTTCCGACGGGAACAGCATCAGCATTGTCAGCTGTCTTGTGAGAAAGATTATTTGCTACTACTGACAAATTTCAGTAGCTGCAATTACGCACGAAAATTAAGGCCCGTAGCGATCGGGTGGTTTTCTGATGATGCTGAATTAAGGCTGTGGCGTACGTGTATTCTACATGTGTTTATTTTACTTAACCCTGGGACGTGGTAGCGTTCGGCGGCCCGTTTGTACATAAAACTCCCTTTGATTATGCGTAAAAGGAAGCATGATTCAAAGACGAATTGAATCTTAGAAGAATCGACCGAAAGGCGACACAAACCATGTAAATCCAACTAACTCGAGGGGAGTCTATTTAGACAGCTATTCAAGACGCCAAATAAACCCAGATAAAATGGAACAAGACAGAAAGGTGCCGGCAAAATTAGGAGAAGGTGGCCGATTCAAATACTTTTGTGCAAGTCACACCGATTCAACAACATGGATCAACTATTCAGTGCTTCATGGTAGAATGGGCTGTCCTCTAATGGTTTGTCAAATGGAAGGACATTAGTACATAGATTATTTATTTTGGAAAGTTTCAGCTAACACAGTTTTGGGAATAAAATAGATTAGCAATGCCCATGTATACACCAAGCTGCCAAATGTTTTTTTATAATCACCATGCTGCTCAAGGTCCGATCTTCAGGAAGGCAACCAGAATTAGACTGGGAAGTCAGAAGAATAGAAACAAGTGTTGTTGGTTCCAATAGGACTATGCAGGCAGTGGTGTCTTCCACGCAAAAGGCATCTTTGCAGTGGAAAAGAGGGCGGCGCAGTCTCCTCCCATGGATAACAGTTTGCACACTCCGGATGACCAGCACGTGACCATGCTATTCAATACGGTCGGAATAACTTTGAAAGTCGAGAGCCCAATGCGACTAAAAACTCACCTTCAGAGTGGCGCTGAGATTTGTCTACCTACGTCTTTTCGTGTTCTTCGTCTAAGCCGGCTCCAATAATCCAGTGTGTCACACTGTCGGGTGCTTCGCTTTTGTAAAACCGCCTCAGGAAAAGAAAGGAAGCGATCGAGATGGAGTATCGTCCGTCAGTTTGA